TCCTGTCGGGCACTTTGAATATCGCGTTTTACCTTTTGGTCTGGTCAACGCTCCCGCCGTATTTCAAGCTTTAGTAAACGATGTCTTGAGAGATATGCTCAATGTGTTTGTTTTCGTTTACTTGGATGACATCTTAATTTTCTCACCATCCCTCCAAGTACACGTTCAACACGTTTGGAGAATCGCCTTTTCGCTAAGGCTGAGAAATGCGTCTTTCACGCCCAATCCGTTACTTTTCTCGGCTCGGTTGTTTCTGCGGAGGGGAACAGTATGGATCCTGACAAGGTTCGAGCAGTTCTCGATTGGGCTGTCCCTGATTCTCGAGTCGCGCTCCAACGGTTTTTGGGGTTTGCAAATTTTTACCGGCGCTTTATTCGTAACTTTAGCCAGGTTGCCGCCCCTCTCACCGCTCTCACGTCCAAGACCAGGTTCGTGTGGTCAGGGAATGCTCAGGATGCTTTTGACCGCTTAAAGAGACTTTTTACTTCAGCGCCCATCCTGATCACTCCTGATCCTAAGCGTCAGTTTATTGTTGAGGTCGATGCCTCCGAAATTGGGGTGGGAGCTGTCTTGTCGCAGCGCTCTTCCCAGGATGACAAGGTTCATCCGTGCGCGTTTTACTCCCACCGTCTGTCACCCGCGGAGCGCAACTATGACGTTGGTAACCGTGAACTCCTTGCGATTCGTCTGGCACTTGGTGAGTGGCGACACTGGCTTGAGGGAGCCAGTGTACCATTCATTGTATGGACGGATCATCGCAATCTGGAATACATTCGTTCTGCGAAACGTCTTAACGCCCGTCAGGCTCGTTGGGCGTTATTTTTTGAGTCAGTTCGACTCATCAGAGGGTGCCTCGACCGATGAGAGGGTTCTACCTCCGCGCTGTGTGGTCGGGGTGGCCGTCTGGGGAGTGGAACAGGCGGTTAAGCGTGCACTTTCGTACATCACGCGCGTTCCCCGATCCTCCGAGGGAACATTGTACGTACCCGAGGCTGCTCGTTTGATGGTTCTTCGCTGGGGGCACTCTTCTAAGTTAGTCGCGCACCCCGGTGTAAGAGGCACGTTATCTGTGATACGTCAGAGATTCTGGTGGCCCACTCGCGAGCGCGATATTCGGCGTTTTGTGGCTGCCTGTTCTATCTGCGCTCAAACCAAGTCTAGTAACAAGCCTCCGGCTGGTAATACGGTCATCCTCACCGTCGTAGACCGTTTTTCTAAGGCTGCGCATTTTATTCCGCTCCCTAAATTACCGTCGGCTCAGGAGACCGCCCAGATTATGGTGGATCACGTTTTCAAGATCCATGGTCTTCCTTCGGACATTGTGTCTGACAGAGGTCCTCAATTCACCTCTCAAGTCTGGAGGGAATTCTGTCGGCAGATAGGGGCTTCCGCCAGTCTGTCGTCAGGATTCCATCCTCAGACCAATGGGCAAGCCGAAAGGACCAATCAGATCCTTGGTCGCATGTTGCGCTGTCTCACCTCTCAGAATCCCGTGTCATGGTGCGATCAGTTATCCTGGGCCGAATATGCTCATAATTCTCTTCCGTCGTCCGCTACTGGTTTTTCTCCGTTTGAGGGTTGCCTTGGTTACCAGCCGCCTGTTTTTTCTTCTCAAGAGTCTCAGGCCTCAGTTCCGTCCGTCAAGGCCTTTATTCAGAGGTGTAAACGTACTTGGAGGAGGGTGAGATCTGTTTTATGTCAGACTAGGGAGCGCACTCGTCGAGCCGCTAATCGCCGCAGAATTAGACCTCCCAGATATGTTTGCGGTCAGAGGGTGTGGTTATCCACCCGCAATTTACCTGTTCATGAGATGTCTCGCAAGCTCATGCCTCGTTTTATCGGGCCCTTTATTATTGTTAAGGTTATCAGTCCTGTTGCTGTGAAGCTTAGACTGTCCGGTCAGGTGCGCCGTGTTCACCCGGTCTTTCATGTGTCCTGCATTAAACCCATTATTCGTGCGCCCGCCCGCCCCTCACTTCCCCCTCCTCCCATTGACGAGGGGGCCTCTATCTACAGAGTCCGCAAGCTCCTCGACGTTCGTCCTCGGGGGCGTGGTCACCAGTTCCTGGTGGACTGGGAGGGGTATGGTCCTGAGGAGAGGCGGTGGATTCCTGCCCGGGACATCCTGGACTGTTCTATGATTGATGACTTCTACCGGTCCCGTCAGGCTCCTTCCTCGAGCGCCTAGAGGCGCTCGTTGAGGGAGGGATACTGTTATGAGTAGGGTTTTTTTCTATTTATTCTCTCACACACACACTTATATACACACTCACACACACACACACTCATTCACGTTCATACCCGCTCTCTCTTTCCTCACCTGTTAGTCTTTGCAATCAGTGCTCGCGCTGATTTGCTTTTACACCTGTTTCTACTTTTCCCTAAGTGTTCACCCTTTATCTGGCGTTTGTTTCAGTAGTCTCTTTGTCGGATCATTGTTTCATGTCACGGTACGTCCGTCCTCTCTGATTTAGTCAAGTGCTAACAGTCTTGTCTTGTTTGTCCGTATCAGTCTGGCTACTAAGAGTATTTTCCGTGCCTTGCTGTTGCTGCTGCTTGGGGCTCTCTTCGTCCACTCTTCGTGACTTAGACGTCTCCTGTTCCTAGAGACTGCGCCTAGGAGGTTCTGTTCAGCGCTTCGTGACAGGAGATTATTCCCGCTTCTGTTTGTCTCCAGATCTGTGTTTATTAATGACAGACTGCCTTTGTTTCTATCATTAATTAAAGACTGTTATTCCTGTCTATCTGCTTCTGGATCCTTCATTATTTGACGTGACAGTAGGTGTGATCTTGTTACCAAACTTTTCCCAGGTCTGCTCTCATCAGCATAGCAGTTATTGGCCCTTGAGATGCTAATCCAATCAGCCTGACTAGAGTGGTTAAACCTTTACATTATCATTGAGATAAAGGGTGGGAGTCTTAGTGATCTGAATAATTTAAAATACAATAGAGAAAACAGGTTGGGCAGGAAAGAACCATTAAGAGTTTCAGTAATCTGAGCAATACAGAAAAACAGGATAGGCCGGATATAATCACCATCCTAATCTTGAATGCTAAATTCAATGTACAGAAAGCTTTCTCAGTTTATATTGGAATCTAAATTAAACATTTAATCAATTTGTAATACCACAAAACTGTAAGAGAAGTTATTTGACCAGCTTGATGCATTTCAATGATTCCGTTGCATTTTGTTATATAGCATTTTGCATCCCGTAAAATTAATTAAGTTGGACAACGGTGAAATTGCTGTTTGATGTTGAATTGTTCTTGTGATGTGTGGCATTTTGGACATTGTTTTCTAATGTTTATTTGCATCCCTATTGGCTTCTGTCTCACTACTGTATTAGGTATTTTCATCAATTTGTCCACAGGGCGTCTAAAGTGCCACCTAAGTGACTACTCTTCACCGTGGTCTTCCTCACATCCCACGAACAGCCTATTTGTCCACCTAGGTGCATATTTTCAAAGTTTGTGGGTCGTGTAAAAAACCAAAAAATCCCTTATTTTGGGGATGGATTCTGGGAAATCTCCTTTATTTTCAATGTTTAATGTTGACAGTTATGGACTGGATACGGTACAGTAAAAGTTTAATATATCAACTTGCTCCTCTGACTACGTCACCTTCTTCATTGCTCTGATTGGCTGTGGCGCTTTCCAATTGCGTGCAGAGAGAATTTGAAAGACAACCGTTTATCCCGCCCCTCGGATTGAGCCCTGTCAATGATGAGTTCCCAGACCTAACATCTTGATGTAGGTCTGGCATGCCAGACTATATTCATCCACCTAAGTGCCTACAATAGTTTATTCATCCACCTAAGTGCCTATACACCCGGTCAAAGTCAGCATCCAACCAGTAGCTTAATAAGTTACTCACTGGCCTTCAGCACATGTGGTCAAATCCCCAATTCCTGACCAGGATTCACCGGCTGAAAATTAAAGTCAGTTAACAGCCTCCACCCTGTAACTTGTACCTGTAACCTGTAACTGGACTTCACCCACTGTATCCATCATGTAACTTATTTGACAGAGCCCCCCTATAGGCTGTCTGTGGACAGTTGAATATTATGCAAATTTTGCATAATTTGGTTTACATTACAAATGTGGTTTACATTACTTTATTTGTATTACTTTATCAATAGCTGCGTTTCCATTACCCTTCAATTTGTGCAAATTGAAATTGCTAAATGATAATACGCTCAATGGAAAAGTCAATTTCGCAAAAACTCCAGTTTATCGCAAAAAAGTTTTTACGCTCGCATGAGGAGGTTTTTCAGGCAATTAGAAAAAGGATTTTTTTTCGCAAAACTGCAATGGAAACGGATTTTGCGCATTACAGTCACCTGACTTAGAAGACGGAGTGTGTTTTAGGTCCGTGTCTGCAAATAATAATAATAATTATCATCATTAGCCTATTATAACATTTATTAGGATACATATGTAGAAGACGCTTTTATCCAAAAAAGGAACAAAGCAATTCGTCACATCTAATTCATAGTACAGGTTGGACAATAATAATAATAGGACTTAAGATTATCACAAATAAACACTCGATTTTGACCAATATTCAAGAGTGTGTGCGGAGTTTGGAGCACGCACTGGATGGCAGACAGGCGCGGGCACACCGTGAACACTTTCATTTTCCCATTAACAGTGGAATCAACTTAAAAAATGGTTATACAGAAAATAATAATACATTATTCGCTAGTACGTTTATTTGCATAATGTCACAATAACAAGAAAACGTCAGGCGCGCTTTATGATCTTTGTGAACTGGAGTGTGAGAACTGAAACAATCAGATCTGATTGATTAAAACATTCTCCCACATATCTTCCTTTGTGTTCAGCAGAACAAATAAACACATAGAGGTTTGGAACAACATGAGGGTGAGTAAATACTGACAGAATATTCATTTTTGGGTGAACTAAAGCTTTAAATATAGATAAATAAAAAATTAATTTTAAAAATTAAACGTTCTTAAAAAACATAAATACACATACTAATACTAAAAATAAAAATGAAATAAATCCCAAAAATATATAAATATATACAGAAAAAAAGGACTGGACTGTCATCCAGCCACTCAAGGCCTAAGCCTTCCCCTCTGAATGACTTTCTGTTGACCCCATAGTCAAATTTGAACTCCTCATCCACAGAGATGTTCTTCGGGGCCTTAAATAAAACAATGTCCTTTTCTTGCCCATTAAAAGTCATTTTGCAGCCGAAGGGCTTTATGTTGGCTGCCTTTGAGGAGTGGTTGATGCGGCGGCCAAAAGTGTCTATCTGTGGGTGACGGCTGCAGGGAAAGGTCTGGACATCCACACAAAGGGCTTGCTGTGGTAATCACAAACAATGTCACCACTGGCAAAGTTTCTGGTGGCAACCACTCCTGTAATTAGGAAAACATTACATTTTGAGTTACTGAATATACTTTGCATGTAGACCAACGTTTCAGGCTTTAATTGTAGTTCTTGGTGCATTTAATGGCTGTTAAAAGGTTCAATTTACATTTTTGTATTTTCTTGCCTTGAAAATAACTGAAAGGTTTTCTTACCGAAACTTTTGGGAGGACCAAAATCTTTGATGGCCAGACCTGTCCATGCCTGCTCAGCCACACAGCGATGCACACAGGGGTCGGTTTTGACCTTCTGCTTAGAGGCCGGCCTCCACATTCTCACAACCTCCTCTGGTTTGGGGCAGTTGGTCGTCCACCCCTCCTGAGAAATTAGGCCTCCGCAGACTGAAGTAACCTGAAAGACAGAATGACAAGACTTTACTCATGCAAGTCATTTGTCACAATGAATCAATGTCGAATTTATGGGTGCCAATGCTGTATTGATAGATTTGGAGACTTACCGACAAGATAGTCAGCCCTCTTGGTATATTGTGAAGCCCGCCACTTGTCATAAAATGACCTGGCTCCAGGAAAGACAGCTTCACTCCGCTGCCTCTTAGATGGAGGCTGGCCCTGCGGAGAGACAGGGAAGGCCTCCAAAAACTTGTTAAAGTACCGCCACATGCTGGTTTCAGCAACTGCTGCTGTCCCCTTATCCGAACAAGTCCTGCATAAGTGGGGAATACAATATTTAGAGTAATATAATGTGCAAACAGTTTGTGTTATGTCCTTTATAAATGAAGAGACATACCCAGCCACAGAGGATAAGAGGTCGGCTGCCTCCACCAAGTCCTCATCAAGGGCCGCCCAAATATAAATGGATGGCCTCCTGTTGTTGTGCCGACAATAACCGCCCTCCGCACATTCTGGCTTTTTGAGATGCCCAGTTTATACCTGTTGAAATAAAAATTTGAAGGAAATGTTAATCATGAAATGACTGTAACTGACATACATTCAGACATGTGAACATGTATATGTGTAGGTACGTACATTGAGTGTAGTTTGTTCATGTCCTTGTGGACCGCATCCGCAGAACTGGTAAGAAAAAAACGGTTGCAGCCTTTCTCTTCGCTGAAAATGTGAGGCCTGATGTTCAGGTAGTACTGCTGCAATATCTATGGTGAAAAAAAGTCCAAAAATTGATGGTGAGCAAATTACTCTTTGTGTTGCAATGAAACTTACATTGTCCTCAGCCTGGCTCAGGGCAACCCTCATACCAACCGAGGCTTTTCTTTTTGTGCGCAGTATCACCCTACTGCCATGGATGACACGGCCCACCCACTCTGCATTCTTCATGTGGGTGATGAAGAAGGAGCTGGCTGGTTACTGACTAAAAACCCTGACGAATAAGCTCCTTCACCAGGACCATCTGACTCCCTTCTTGTCAGGCAACAGCGTGCGCTGTCGCAAAAAGTCCCAAAGTCCCACACTCGTGCACTGTCGATCCACTCTCTGGCAGAAGCCTGTGCTCTCTGGACCTCGGCTGCCCGTTCAGCCTCTGTGCTGTCTCGGAGGCAGACAGTGGCCAGATGCAAAGCGATGTCCTCCTGCGGCTCGTAGCAATGGAGACAATGGATTTTGATGCTTTCAAAAGAAATGGAAAACAAAAACACATGATATAATATATAAAAAAAATTAAATAATCCTCTGAAAGAACGATACACAAATTAAATAGATTAAAAGAAATTAGATAGATGGATGTATATAAGCAATATCATGCAAAAGTTAATTTATTTCAGTAAATCTAACATTTTATAATGTAATAATATAACATATTATTGGCTACGGTGTAATTACACTATACAGCACAACTAGGGCCACTATAATATGTGAACAACATATTTTGCATTTTTCATAATCAATAAGCCATAATCATCAAAATTATAACAAATAAAGCCTTGAAATATCTCACTTTGCATGTAATGACGGTATGTAATATAGAACTTACATCTTTTAAATTGATTTACTGAAAAAATAATAAATTACCTTTGCATGATATTATAGGTTTTCTAATTTCACATGTAGATGGATAGACGTCCAGAAGGATAGACAGATATATAGATAGACAGACTACACTTTACAAAATGAAAAATGTAAACACTTACCTGTCCATTATAGCTCTTTTCAGCGGGGAACTCTTTTCTGCACGGTCACAGACGAGGGGTGTGTTGAAACTGAAAAAGAGAAACCCCACCATTAAAATACAAATATTATAAGATCATTAAGTAATCCTAAAATCAAAGGAAGAAATGTTCAATGAAAATTTCAAAACACAAAATAGTAGTCTCAAAACCTTTAGATTTATTCACTATTAATAACAACCATAATAATAATATAGATATAGATACAGCAGGGTTTCTGGGCTTTTTAGCCCAAAAGGGCTAAACAAACGAGTAAAACAAATCCACTTGGAAATATATAAGTTTGCCTATTTAAAAAAAGATGAAGGCCACAATGATATAGCTATAACATATTTATTATATATGTTCATATATGTTCATGTTCAAAAAGATCAGTCATCTTCATCCTCAGTTCTTTTTATTTGTATACCCTTACATTAGACAAATTTGTCAAAGAAAAAACTATTATTTGGTTTTGAACAAACAAATGAAAAAAGCCTTATTTGAAGTGAAAAACCTATCTTGGCGAAAACTCGACTGATCTGAACTCCATAGGCCTTGTTGGAATCGTCTATTCGCACTGAAAATAAAGATATGAGTTTCTGAATTTTTGGCGGAGGATTGGCAGAGAAATTACACGAAAACCTACGTGCGCGTTTCAAAATGGCGGCCGCGAGAAGAGGCTCGGGTTAGGCCTACCAAATGTGAAAAACGTATCTTGGCGAAAACTGATCCTCACGCCATAGGCCTTGTTGGAATTGTCTATTCAAACTGCAAATAACTATATATTCCTGACATTTATAATGCACAGTAACTTATCTTTTATTATTAAAAATAAAATTCAGACTGATTTTCCCATGGCTGTCGTTGCTATTCAACCATGCACTGCGCTCTCCACAACGACAAAGAAGTTTTAGTAGCTAACGTATTTCCACCACTGAGAAACGCTTGCTGTAGCTCTGCTAAAAGATTTATTTACGAAGATAAAAAACACTCAGGTGTTTGGGTGCACGACACGTACGTGCACTCCCATACTGAAAAGTTTATCAGCGTGCTTCCCGTGAGCGCATTACAAGTGCTTCCCGTGCTCCTATTTGAAATAACGACCTTGAGCGTGCAAAAGACGCAATACATGAACTAACCAGGAGACCCCCTTGACATCGCTTCTGTGCACGGCACCTTCTCAGCAAACAGAGGCGCCATTGCCAATAAGCTAATTGAATCGAAATGATAAAAAATAGAAAACCTTCGCGGCACAGATGATTTTTTTTTAACTGCTCGTGCCGCCCCCCATGTGACATGAAGAAATGCCGCCCCGGGCGATTGCCCGGTTCGCCCGTGCCTAAAACTGCCACTGGCTTCACCTTGGCATTCATTTTGTTAAGCTTTGTCATTTCTTTTAACTGGCGAAGTTTGATCAGGGAGATGTGACGTGAACGAAGTTGCATTCTTTTCAAAAACCTTAAAGGAGAAATCAAAACTATGGGCTTTCGTGAGGGGAGAACTGGTGAAACTTCCTGCTGGCCTTCTTCGCTTCTGGACACCACTGCTTCCCCTTTCCAAAGAAAATACACGGTGAAGGATTGATCATTGTGCCAATAAATACAGCATTATAGACTCAGTACGTTTAAAGGATATTTACCTGGCTTGTCTGGGACCTTGTCTCAGCAGTGGAGCCTTCAGAGCCTTCGGTTTCCTGTGAGGATTCCTCTGTTGCCTTTGCCCTCTTTCTAGGGTTTTCATGCTTCCGGCCACTGCGCACTCGCTTGACCCCCGATGTGCTGTTGTCCTCCCCTGTCAGCATAGTCGCGAAAAGCCTGCAATGTTCTAGTGCCTGCTTGGCAGACAAGTTTGCTATGTAAAACTTGTCCACCGTTTGGACGTCATGGCACATAAACTTTGATATCTTCTGGCGGTCGGCCTCAGAATGAGTAAATTTGGCCTAGAATAGAGAGAAAGAAGGAGAAAACCAAAGTAGTTTGAGGAGACAACACCTAACTGAATGTCTCTGAAATATGCCCCCTAACGAGAGAAAACAGTTACATGGCTGGCGATGGATGTTCTTAAATCAGTGAAGTTTGGGCTGCCGGTTAGGCCCATTGACTTCCACGCGGCACGGAAATAGGTGACAAGTTTTTTGCATATCTTAGAAGTTGAGGTGAAAAAATAGTACTTTGCAGTACTGCCACCGGGAAGTCTTCTTCTTATTTTGAGGAAACGCTGCATCCAGTCAAATTCCTCCCTTGTTACCGCTATCTGGGCCGGGCCAAACGCTGGTTGGTCTTGTGGTACTGTATCTGTTGACACACACACACACAAACTCAGCAAATCAGAACAGAGATCAAACAAATGAAGGTCACCTGATGTATACAAAGGAAGCAATACACTCACAATGATCAGGAACATATTTTCTTCTGGGAATTCCTGGGCCTCCTCTACCTCCCTGATTGTCATGTTTTGATATACCCCCCCTCGGTGACCATAGAGGGCTGCCAGGTAAGCAGACAGGTGGCCATAAAATTCCCACGGCAGGGTTGTGTTGCATTTGTCACTTTCGAGCAGGGCTATAAACAACACGGAGCACAATCTCAGGGTTAATGTTGAACATTTTTATTGCATTTTACAATATGTCGGTACAATGAGTTAAATGGGGGGAGAAACTTACCTAGAATATATATATATTGTGCATAATATAGAATATTATTATTCTATATTATGCACAAATAATAATAGGAGAGCCAATTGTCAGTCAACACACTGACAATGACATTTCACAAAAACATTAAGTTAAAATAATGCAAGTGTACTCACTCAGTGTCAACCCATGATCAGGGCTCTCAGGCTCCTGAAAGCCGGGTGGCTGCTGGCTGATGGAGGGCTCCAAATTACCGGAGGATGACAGGAGTGTGGAAGCCTCAGTGGCTGCAACAGGGTCACCTACAGCCTCTTGGGAAGACACCAGTTTTCTTGTCGTCTTTGTAATCCTCCCAGAAGCCTTGGAGAATGACCTTGTCTCCAGTCTGCGGTACCGGCGGGTCACACCACGCAGGTCCATGCACATATTTAACCGGCTATTTTCTGATTTTAATCTCTCTAATTTCTCTTTGCAGCCAGGGTTGCTGCAAACTTTCTCCTCCTCTTCCTCCTCCTCCTCCTCCGCAAATGGAACATCCTGTATTAAACAGTGTATTACTTCAAAATACACCAGAGATCAGAATGTAAATTTTGAAGTAATACACTGTTTAATACAGTAATTGTACATACTGTTGATCCATTTTATGTCCTGAAACAAACCTTTTTTTTTGGGGGGGGGGGGGGGGGGGGTCGACAGACAAACATATTTCTGGGTTATTTAGCTTGTTTACTGTACATCTTGTCACACAGCAGCTTTTGAACATTGTATTGTTTTTTGTTAATAGTCATTAATGACAAGGAGGTAGCCTCTCGCAATGCAAAGTCAATGGAGACGGTTGGGTTGTTTTCCCCCGGTGTGGGTGTGGTCTAAATACGCTCTGTCTCATGCACAGTATGACAAAGGGCGGGGGACATGCAGCTTATCATACGCTTCCCCAACATATGCGCCAATAAAAGGAAATAGAAATACATTAAAATGAATTTAGATTTAAAAAGCAATAATTGCATGAAAACAGGTTGTTGACGAGTCTTTTGGGTCGAGTCACAAGTCAAGGCTGAAGTCAGCTGTTTGTGCGACTCAAGTCCGAGTCTCAAACTCGAGTCCCCATAGCTGGTGCGAAGCACCCGATCTGTGGCCCAAGTCCTGCTGCTAAATCGATAGCAAGCCCTTTTTAGTGGGATTTAGTATCATATTTGGTTATTGCCATGGAATAATAAATTAAGTAGCTTTATCTTAAATGTACACATCTATTTGTTGTTGTATTTTACTGTTTTCTAGGGGTTTCTTAATTTTAGACTAGTTGACCAGCACACATTATATGCAATGCAAGTTAATTTTTAAAACTTTAGAAGTCAAAAGTAGAATCATGGAGATAGTCATGTGTTTGTGTGTGTCTTGCATTGTCTCAAAAAATAATTAGGGCTGTGCAAAAATTAATTGCGATTAATCGCATCCAAAATAAAAGTCTGTGTTGACATAATATATTTGTGTGTGCTGTATATAATTATTTTGTATATATAAATACACACACATGCATGTATATATTTAAGAAAATGTGTTAATCTATATTATATAAATATAAATATTTTATATATGAATATGTATTTATATATACACACAGAATTTAAGCGCAAATAATGCTTAAATATATACATGCATGCATAGGTATTTATATATACAAAATAATTATATACAGCACACACAAATATATTATGTCAACACAGACTTTTATTTTGGATGCGATTAATCGCAATTAATTTTTGCACAGCCCTAAAAATAATTAATATATTTTTTATTTTTGTCATAATTTTTTGAGACACACAAACACAGGTTTGTTAAAATGTTAAAGACCCGCCCCGTTCACCATCAGTTGTCCCATCTTTCCAATATAATGTGAAAAAAGGCAAGTTTGATGGCCAATTTGTTAGTTTTGTGACCAATTTGTTACACTTAATATTGCAACCCAACAAAACTTTTCAAAGTATCACAAATGTCAAATATAAAATTTGAGATAAAAAACCAGGGAGCATTTTTGTAAATGCGTGTTTTTGATGCAACCTCTTGTCATATTCTATTGTCTTGCCATTGTGATGCCATTAAGTGTCCTTTTGTGAATGATTGGATTTTTTTTTTTTTTTTTTTTTACTTTTTTTTAATTTAATGAATCATAAAATAAAGTTTCTATTTTTATACTGGACCCATGTATTTTGCCCTCATTGTAGAAGTGAATCTGCATAAGCTAATGCAGGTTTTGAGTTCTATCAAATATTTCCATGGATGGAGGAATAATAGTTAAATGGCCCAATAGTTAAGCTTGCAGTTTCTGGCAGAGATGAAGAGGGCAGGTGACAACAAGGAAGTTTGTTAATGAGTAACCTTATTTTGTTAATGAGTAACACATTATTTGTTAGTGGTCAGCTCCGCCTATAAGTATGACAAATATGATAACATTGAGTCATTGTAGGAGGATGTTTCTGGGACTTCGCAAGAGATTTAAGAGATTCATTGTAGACTGTTAAAGTGTATGGAGGATGGCGAAGTGTAAAACAGACTGCATCGAAAGGCCTCTCTCTCTGGCCTTTGAAAAACTCGGCCGTGTTGTTGGTAAACATCCATGTGTGTTTATTTTATTAGCTTTATATGTGGCTGCTGCCCTTGGAGTCGGTTTCATCTTTCTTCAGGACAGGGAGGCCAATGATATTGAAGACCAGTTTACGCCTGTCAATGGACCTGCTAAGCTGGAAAGGGCGATTGTGGTGGAAAATTTCCCGCAATCTGAGGAGTTTTCTCAGCTACGCCTTTCGTCTGAAGGCACGTATGCCTCTTTGATCATCACAGACTTGCGAGGAGAAAATATTTTAACTGAAGCAGCTTTTAATGACATTATAGAGCTAGATGGACGAGTGAAAAATATAACGTCAGGAAACACTTTTGAAAACATCTGTGCCAAAACAAAAGGAAGGTGCATGTCAAATGCAATTTTAGACATTATAAATTACAATGCTGCTGAAATTATTTCTTTAAATATAAAATATCCAATGAATAATGACATGTTTTTGGGAACAACCATTGGTGGCGTAGAGCTAAAGCCGGATAGTTCAGAGCTGACCAGTGCAAAAGCGGTCCGGCTCTTTTATTTCTTAGATGAGAAGAAGACAAAGGAAAACCTTTACTGGCTTGATGGATTTCTAAAACTCCTCTCAAACTATAAAGAACAGAAAACGGTAAGTAAAAATGAGTGCAAGTTATATCTACAAGCATATCGATACCTAGTGACCATTGTGTGTAAATGTTCCTCATCTCCAGTAACTGTAAGTCAAGCACAAAAAGTCATTTGGTCAAAAGTTCCAATATTTTTCTCCAGACTATTCATGTCCTGTCATAATTTGCCCTATTTCTTACTATTTCTTCATTGTGCTTCAACACAATGCAACACATTCATGTACACTGTACTGAACAGTGTTTTGTGTTGAATTTCTACAGGTCCATGTGTCTTACTTTACATCAATATCAAGGCAGAATGAGTTCGAGACCAATTCAGACTCTGTGATCCCCCTCTTCGCTGCTACATATTTCTTGGCCATTAATATTTCAATTCTGTCTTGTCTGAGGTATCATGAATAATTAAAAAATGACCAAATAAACATATTTCTTTCAGTAGCTATGTCATTTATCCCTAGTCTCGTTCCTCAGGTTGGACTGTGTCAGGACGAAGGTGTGGGTGGCTGCGTTCGGTGTGGTCTCCGCTGGGATGGCTGTGTTGGCCAGCTTTGGTCTGCTGCTGTTCTGTGGGATGCCGTTTGCCATGACTGTGGCCACAGCCCCCTTTCTGATTCTGGGTAAATGTCATTTATTTCATCACTTAGTAGATGTCTCAAAGTGATGTTCACAGGCTCATCATCTCTGCTGTCCTCAAGGTGTTGGTGTTGATGACATGTTCATTATGATCTCCTGCTGGCAGAAGACTGAAGTTCATAAAGACGTTGAGCTTCGTTTAGCAGAAACGTACAAAGAGGCCGGCGTGTCCATCACTATCACCACACTGACAGATGTGCTGGCTTTCTACATTGGTCTCATGACGCCCTTCCGCTCAGTTCAGTCCTTCTGCATGTACACCAGCACAGCTCTTCTGTTCTGCTACCTCTTCAACATCACCTTCTTTGGCGCCTGTCTCGCACTGAATTGTAGGAGAGAGAAAGGCAACAGACACTGGCTGACCTGCATGAAAGTCCCAGAAGCCACTGGTGATGGTGGAGGCTGTTGTGTTGGTGGGGCTTATGATAAAAACACACATAAGGAATTTGAAATGCCAATGGATTCATTCTTTAAGAACTATTACGGGCCTTTCTTAACAAGAGTGTGGGTTAAGGCGCTCGTGTGTCTGGTCTATGCCGGGTATTTGGCAGTCAGTATCTATGGATGCTTCCAGATGCAGGAAGGTCTAGATCTGAAGCATTTAGCAACAGATGGTTCATATGTTGGTAGTTACTATGATCAAGAAGATGAATTCTTCTCTGCCTTTGGTCCCAATGTCATGTTAGTTATAAAGGATGAAGACTTTCAGTACTGGAACTCAACTGCTCGCAAAAGTCTTGATTTGTGTTTGGAAAATTTCCAAAATCTGACAGTGGCAGATTCAGGCATTTCACCGATTTCTTGGCTAAATGCATATGTGGAGGCACAGAACGCAGGTTTAAATATAGACAATGAAACACAATTCAAAAGCCATTTAACTGCATTTCTTAATCTGTCTGGTTTTAGTCAAGATGTTAATTTCACTGACAATCAAATTCATGCATCACGTATGTTCATTCAGACTGTGAACATCCGCACTGCGATCGATGAGAAGAACATGCTGGATGCGTTTAGAGAAATCGCAGAAAAATGTGGGAAGTTGCAGACACCCGTTGATCTGATAGTGTATCACCCTGCATTCATCTATTTCGACCAATATGCCGTCATCATCACCAATACAATCCAAAACTTAGTAGTTGCTACATGTGCAATGTTAGTCATTTCACTCCTGTTGATCCCAAACCCTCTTTGCTCTCTCTGGGTGACGTTTGCCATCGCATCTGTCATTGTGGGAGTGGCCGGTTTCATGGCATTATGGGATGTTAGTTTAGACTCTGTGTCTATGATTAATCTCGTTATTTGTATCGGGTTTTCTGTCGACTTCTCTGCTCACATTTCCTATGCTTATGTGTCAAGTGAAAAGTCCTCAACCAATGAGAAAGCCATGGATGCCATCAATAAACTGGGCTATCCGATCGTTCAGGGTGCCGTGTCCACCATAGCAGGTGTGGTGGTGCTCGCGGCTGCTACAAGCTACATCTTCAGGACCTTCTTCAAAATCATGTTCTTAGTCATTCTGTTTGGGGCCGCCCATGGCATCGTATTCATACCGGTGTTCCTAACCTTCCTTGGCACTTGTAGAAACAGTCATGAAAAAAACAAACAAAATCCTCCACAGCGAGTAAATGCAGTTGTGATTCAGAATCAATGGTCTGATGATCCTGACTGTTACTGAGATGACTTTTCTGAAAAATTTCACCTGTAGAATTTATTTATCAAGGTTTTCTGAATATCCTATTGTGCTCTAGTTTCCCTGTGATTTTTCCCAGTTTACTGCCTGAGAAAGTGCGATAGGTACCGTGACTCTGCATTGGACAAATGGTTTACAAAATGGGTGGATGAACATGTTTCTTTTTGTTTGAGCTTAGCTCTTTATGATACTTTGATTTGACTTTGGAAGTAAATAGCAATCACTCTGTTCTGTTCTTATGTATAGGCTACACTGCATCCGACATGTATTTATATTGTAATCAAGATTACTCTTTTTTTTTGTCATGAATATTATTTTCAGTGCAGTTCTGTTTATTAAGCACAGCTATTTATTTTAATACATCAATGCAAACACAACTTTGCATTTTAGTCCACTTAATTAATTTCGATTGATTAAACCACATTACTGAACATTTGGAATGTTATGTTTGCCATTAAAAGATCTTGATCTCAACATAAATGTCACTGAAGTGAATTAGTGAGTAATTTATGTTAATAATATATGAAAACAACCTCCCCAGATAGCAAACTGACATTGAATCAACGTGGAAATATGACATCGAAACAACGTTGATCTGACATTGTTTTGCTCATCGAATTAACGTTGAACCAACGTCAGATGCGTCATTCTTTCAAAACTAACGGAAAATCAACTTGAAATCAACGCGTTGTTTCAACGTTATGAAAGCAAACCAATTTTCGATTTCATTTAGCTTTGAAGAATGCCGCGTCTGACGTTGGTTCAACGTTAATTCGATGAGCAAAATCAACGTTGTTTCAATGTCATTAGAGACGTCGTTTCCACGTTGATTCAATGTCAGTTTGCTATCTGGGACTTTATAACTTCAAGTCCAGAAACAATTTTGTTAAATACAGAGCATTTCAGTTTTGACTGCAGCTGGTCATCCAGATCAATAAACTCGATAATTTTATTGTTTATATTCATCGCTCATTGGCTGTCTTTTGAAAACTTTTCTGATTGAAGCTTCCAGAGATTGTTGATTTTGATCGGCTCATCGTTCTCTGCCCTTGCCATTGTGTTCTGCGGGGTGACTCGTCTTCAAATGCTTTATTAAGTGTAGAAGCTGCTTATCTTGTGGCACCCCTCCAAATTGCAATATGGCATATGAGACATGTCGCCGTTTTACTGGCTGGTAGGTCCAATCTTAAATACTGCCAAACAGCGGACATACTGCTATGTAGAGTTTCTGATCGGACAATCATTAACCCGTTTTCATGCGATCACTCAGATCGTGGTCACTAGTGCCAGAAAGAGTTTAAACATCTGTAATCAAGCCTTCAGGCATAACTCACCCATGCCATGCACACATTATAAAGTGTTTGATCTCGTTATAATCCTCCTGGTGTGATCTGTCTTTTAAACTGTATAACGCTATTGTGAAATGTATCTCATTATGTATAAGTTTGTTTTCAAAGTCAACATAACTTTTCCTTTGTCTTGAGCAAAAGTTAACAACGTGGTGTGTTAATCAAGTGGGCGTACGCGCTCCCTGATTTGGACGACGGTCATTGGCCGTCCGAGTTTTAGGGTTAGTCCTGAAAAACCTTTGAAAAGCTTGTGCCACAGAATGCTTCTTTCTCTTACATCTTATCAGCTCTTACGCTCTTACCTCCTACTTCGATCCCTGGCTTCGCTCCTCCTCCCAAAATCTCCTTGGACCTGAAGCTTTTAAAGTTATCAGTCTTTCGTACTTTTACTACACGTTTACTTTTGCGAATAGCCAGTTAAAGTTCGTAAATGTGTCTTCTCCAACAAGAAGGCAACATCCAGCACGATAGAACTCTCTAGGACGCTTTGAACTCCCGCGAAACACACCCACGTGAGAGAACAAAGAAATCCGTCTCCCGCCTCCCGGACGATCACACGCTTCCATCACACACAGGTCTGAAAATGCAAGTGTTCACACTTAATTTTGAGACTCAAGATATAATCCTGTGGTTGTCTCTGAAGGTTTAAAGCTGTGCTAGTAATTGCAATTTTCCTTGTATTTCCATTTTCCCTTGTTTCCTTTCTTGAGTTTTATTTTCATTTTGTGTATACATATATCGTGTGATTTGTAGTGTTTAACTTAGTTGTGTGCTTTTATTAAACTTCATTTATAGACCATTTCACAAGATGTAAACAACACTGGTCCAGAAGCACTTCCTGTTTCAGTTTGTAACTGTTTTCTTTATTTCACATGTAAAGAAAACATCTTAAAGATGTTTGTTTAACTTTTTGATTCAGTTTTATATGTTCTGTTGGTTGTATTTTATCCCAGCTTTTATGTAGTGTTAAACTGAAACAGGAAGTGTTTCTGGACCAGTGTTGTTTACATCTTGTGAAATGGTCTATACATTATTTGGCATTGTTTGTATTAATCACATAACAAAGCCTCTTTAATATGAGATCATAATGCTACAATCTGATTTTGTTGAGTGCACAAACATTATCAGTAAATTTAAGCTAAAACAGACCAAGTGATTGATAGTTTACAGATCAAGCACGCTGGCTTGTAGTCCTTTGTTGTTTTTAAAGATCAAACAGCCTAATCTGTGGAAAATATATGCTCCAAATTAATCATAATCCGTTGTGTTTAATTTCGTCATATATATCTGAAGCAGACGTGTGTTGTGTAACACCCCTCGTTGGGTGATTTTATTTATGTGAGAAACTCGGTTTAAGAAATATTCTATAAATTGCTGATCCAGATCATTAATTTAGAATATCCTTCCCCTGAATTCAAATTGAGCTATAAACCTTAAGCCGGGATTCCTTACAGCTAGCACACGCTTTCTTCTTTGCTGCTGTAAACAGAGGTTGATTGTGGCAATAGCATGACGTCCTGTGTTGCCACAAGTAACAATACCACAAGGCCTGACAATGCTTTGTAAAAAAAAAAAAAAAGAATTTTAAAATCAACCCTAAATTTGACTGGAAGCCAATGTAGGGATTGCAGTATTGGACCCCCGTTAAAAGCCTTGCCGCTGCATTCTTCACTAACTAAACACCAACCCAACACTCCAGACGATTGAGAAGAATTTCATGATCTATTGTTTCGAAGGCAGCACTCAGATCCAATAAAACCAGAACAACATGTGATCCAGAGTCCAATGATCAGGGCTGGCCCGTGGCATAGGCGGTATAGGTAAATGCTAGGGGTGCCACCACTCAATAGGGGCGCCAAAATGAATGAACGAGTGAATTATTATTTTTTTTTACTAATACTATTTTAAAACCATTAATTCAAAATGCTACAAAATAAAGCAAAACAAATCCACAAAAGCTTAACGACTCCAGCGCATCAATCTTCCCCCGCCCAGCGAGTGCTTGAAGTGCGTCAGGGTCTGAAACAGAGCATGCACGATCAGTTTACTGTTGGTAATTTGTTGTGTAGTGTCGGCCCTCGCCGCATCCAATGTAGACAGCATTGCTTTCATTTGAGGGCGCTCAACACACTCAATCCCCCCTGTAGGGTCTTGCAGATCGCGCCAGCTCAAGACAGCTTAAAGTTTCCTTTTTGTAACGAATGGCCTAATTTTTATGACATTTAAATTAGCATTATAGTCTGCAATAGAAAAAGTGCAAAAAGAAGAGAAGATGATAAAAAGGGATAAAGACAGAGGTAAAGTCATGTAATGAATGAACAGTTTATCTAATTGCATAGTAGTAAGATACAATCATTTAAAGGGGGGGTTGACTGCGATTTCACTTTTTTGATTTTAAATAGTGTGTAATGTTGCTGTTGGTGCATGAACAGTATCTGCAAAGTTGCAGCGCTGAAAGTTTAGTGTAAGCAGAGATATCGTCTCTTATATAATTGCCTACAAAAACGACTCGATCGGGACTACAGCTGGGCTATGGTACGTCACTAACCCACACATTTCCATCAGCCCTCCCTCAGGAATATGCAGGAAAAGGCATGCGCATATTTCTGCAGCACGTCGAGTGAGTGTTCACCCAGCTGTCAGGTCTTCTGTATTCAAACTTCCCACGGACGCTACTTCGTCAACAATGGATACAATTTATGTTTGATTATATTCCTGAAAATGACAATCATAATTTAGCTCTCTGTGCTGCGCATTTTACGGAAGACAGCTTCCAGAATGTCCACGAATTCAACAACGGATTCAACAAGAAACTGTTACTAAAACATGAAGCAGTTCCGACTTTAAAGGAACACTCCGACTTTTTGGGACTTTAGCCTATTCACCTCACCCCCCAGAGTTAGATAAGTCCATACATACCTTTTTCATCTCCGTGCGTGCTATAAGTCTGTTTGACGCACCCACCACTAGCCTAGCTTAGCACAAAGACTGGATGTGAATGGTTGCAGCTTTCATACTAATCCAAATGAGTGACAAAATAACGCAAACGTTTTCCTATTTACATGTTGTGGTTTGTATAGTCACAGAGTGTGCAAATATCAAGGCCATATGAGACACAGACATCTTTTAACCGTATAAATACTATATTTTCTGAAGGCGAAGCACTGCTACTTGGGCAGAGTGATAACCATCACCTGAGACGCACCGTGACGAGGAGCAGAGTGTTCGCTCAGTGTTGGAGTAAAGAGTCAGCAATTACTAACGTTAGATAGAAAAGCATAGTTTATCATGGGTGTTTGCTTTATTGTATGAGCTGTGACAATACAGTAAACAGGGGAGACCAGGTACCATGTTTCATTAATTTCCAACCAAAAACGCACCCAGATTTATAAATATCACATGAATAAATAATTATTATTACAGGAATCAATATATTTTAAATGCAATTTATTAGCTGAACCAAATGTATTCAACAGTATATAATATACAGTATAATTGCATTGCTATAGGATAGAATAAGGGGAAAGTAATAGCACAAATTGTTTTTGCACAATGAACTCACAGCCTATCGTACCCTTTTGCACGCTCAATTCGTTATTTCCATGGTTATTTCAAATTTAGGCTAGGCGCGCCGCGCGCAGGGTGCAAGTTCAACGCGGTGAACACGCTCGTTTTTTTTTCCAAGCGCATCCGCACCGCGTCAAGATAAAAACATATTCATACCCTAATCATATAATAGTGTCACTAATGTTACATTAGCTCTGGCTAATGGCACTGTTACAGTAGGTCATCTAAAAACATAACGGAACACTTACCTCAGCCGCAGGTGATCCACTTGTCCTGTCTGTGCTATCGATGGGATGGCCGTATCCTTCAGCACATTATGGTCCGTGTGGCAAATTCCATTTTTTCAAAATAGTCGTCCATTGAAATGTACCGAGCAAACATAATGTCCCTTGATAATCTATTTAGGTGTGTTTGGATAAATATCCAGAGTAAGTTAGCCATTTCTTCATCCAGTCAGCGTTTTTAGTTGGAATTCTGTAAAACATGGTATTACCTCCCCTGTTTACTGTCGCAGCTATTTACAATAGAGCGAAAACCCATGACTGTAAACTACGCTTTTACTATTTATAAATTGCTGACTCTGTTACCCAAACACTGAGCGAACTCTCCGCTCCTCACCACGGCGTGTCTCAGGTGATGCGGTTATTACTCCGTCAAAGTAGCAGTGCTT